TCCAACCAACCATAATCGGTTGTAGATTCTTCAACGGTGTGATTTACCGGTTGGCCGAAGCCAAAGGTAGTGCTGTACGAGGTTCTGTACAATGTCCTAACCGTCCTTGCCATGGACAGTCGCAACGCGCCGCTTCATCGTCCATATATTCGCCGTGCGACCCACCACCGCCCCCCGGCACCGTACTGCATTCCACCACGGGGTTACCATGCTCTACCACCCACAGCGAGGTCAGTTTATCAGGTGCCATCGTATCCTCCACTGCACTCTCCTCCCAACCTTCACCTGACGGAAGAGTTCCTCCAAATGCTACGGTCCTGGCTCCCTCCGTCAGCAACTTCCCGTACGCTGAGTCCATTCAGACCAGTGCCAGCAGTTGCCGCACCACCGACCGTCGTGTCACCAAGAACCAGCGCCACAGTACCGCTCCTGCCAGTCCTTTACAGTGGTCAACCAGTTCTCGGTTCTTTAAGCCTCCTCCGTATTGGGAAATCCCCAGTGGGCTCGTGCCATAACCTCCTCATCTTCCCAGGACTTGGTGGTACACCGGTCTCCGAGAACTGCGGCACGGTGGCCGAGGTCATGGAGTCATATTCACCGATTTCCAACCCGCCATCGCCCAGTACCATCCTGTCTTCACCGAGTCTCTCCCCGTACGACAAAGGTCATCAGAATCCCCAGTACCCAACTACGTACGTCCAACACCAGACCTTGCGCCCCTTCTGGTTGATTCACCCGAGTCTCCACCGCCGAACAACACTATCACCTACTTCTCTCAACAACCGCAACCGTATTATCAGACGGCAGCCGTGGTTAGCCGCCACCACCAAATGGAGTACCAATTGGTAAATCTCCTGCTGTTAACAACCCGTATTTTAAACGGTCTACCGGAGCTGCGACTCATTGGCATCCTGAATCTACGTGGTAAGAAGCAATAAAATCTTATATTTTCTCATGTTTTCGTATATTTTCTGCTGTCATGCACACGGCTTGGTTTTGTTTTATAGATTTAATTACGGAGTACTCTTATCAACATCATCGAAGTGCGGCCTTCCATCTGAGTATGCCATACAGCACCAGGAGCCATTACATCAAAAGCGCCTCCGCGTCGTTAAATAACTGCTAAGTGATTTTCAATTTGTGGCTAACGTTCCACCATCTTTAAATATGATTTTAAAATTTCTTCTTTCATAGTGTTTTTATTTTTAAAAAATGATTACGACTGTAGCATGACAGTATTATCAGAAAAATATAACTCATGGTCCAATCTTCTTGATTTTCTAAGAGCTCGATGAAAGACCAGTTCTTTGCATCATGTAATTATTATGACGTTTATTAAAATTAAACAGGGTATCCGAAGTAGCGAAACAATTACAGCGCTTCGGTCTCCCGTACATACACCAGTACGCATTTTCCTAACCATTTTATGAGTTTAACTCAATTAAAACTAGCGCGTAAGCGGCTGTTGTGTTTTTTTTCCTACTGCTCGACTCGAGCAGAATAAAACAAAAAGTTATGTTTTTAACTTCTGATAGTTCGTTTTTGCAATTACTGTAAGAATGAACACACAAAATTCAATCCTAATCTTTATATTTTAGTTTTTTATTCTTTCACCGTGGTATTCAGTTGCATCTGGCAAAAAGCATCGTCAAAGCACTGCAAACAAATCCGTGCGAAATCCACGAACCACAAAAAAACTTCACCCTACACCTACGTTATTACTTACTTTACATGAACTAAACTAAATCCACTAAAAAGATGGAGGAATTTTTTACCTGGATGATAACTGCACTGCAAATAATATTGTGGCGAACCCACATTTATATTTTTGAATGCGGTATACGCTAATGTATGCGCAGCACAGTGCATGGGCCGGCTGACAGGGGGCCGTCAGCCCACGTGCATTGACCGGTGGTATACCACACTGTGCCGTACATGCAGCAACGCCATCGTCCCTTGCACCGTATGTACCGTAGTACGCAGCGAGACGAAGTGATGTACCCCATTCTACTGCCATGAGGGGCGCAGGGTTTCTACTACTGTAACCGCTAGATGAAGTGAGACCATAGAGTCTAGTGTACGGAAAAATGCCAGCCCAATATCCATACTTTGCTCCATGCAAAAAATGTATTTGATTTTCCTCAGCTGCTACCAACATTTGACACGTTTTACTGTTCTTTACTATTTTTTAATTCCTTGCAACAAAAAAAATTGTTTTAAAGTGTGCGCCGCCCGGTGGGAGGAAGGCTCGTGCTCAATGGCTAACGAGTGGAAGGCAGCGCCCGGATCTATCAGTGGTCTCACATCATCGAACGGCTACAGTATTACATAAGTATGCTGCGGTCGTGAAGAACCACAATAAACCACATTTTCCCAGTGCTAACTGACACACGTTGCCGAGTGACCGCACAAGATACATAATATAATATACAGTACGTACTACTATATTATAAACCCCCCGGGCATTCTTTCTCCACCCGGTCCATTAATCCGCTTGGCTCATATTTGTACACCTCCGCTAGTCTTGACAAAGTGGTCTTACCTGTTGACCTTACTACTGAAGACGCAGCTGCGAATCGGTGCCACAACACTGTCCGTAAACAAAGACGCCCTCATCCAAGGATCACCGTACTTCGCCGCCATGCTGGACGGGAATTTCCAGGAGAGCGACACCACAAGTATCGAGCTGCAACAACCGGACAATGTTCATCTGGAACCGCTGGTCAAACTAGTGGAATGGCTGAACAGTGGAGACCCCATTTACAAGTTACCTATTGAACGCAAAGACGCCGTCCGAGTGTGGATGACCGCTAAATATCTGCAGATGCGCATAGCCGTGGAAAGGGTCGAGTATATCTTGGATTAGATAATGCAACGACAAGAGAATTTGTACCGTCTGTGGCGAATGGGTCGTCGGGTGGGACTGCCGGATCTGGAGAAGCTAGCCGTAACGAAGATAGTCCAGCAGCATCCACGCCGCTCTTCGGTCTCTGGCCCCGAGATGTTCCTCCAGTGTAGTGCGGAAGAGGTCACGGATCTGCTGACTAACGAGGGCTATATTCCGCATTCCGAAGCGGCAGTATATCAGGTTGGTCGTTGGTGTTTCTTAATTTTTCCTAATTCATTTTGAAAGCAGCCAGATTTGAAATCAACTAGTTAAAGTTTTCTTTAACTGTTTTAATACTCACCTTGCAATTGACAACGGCACAATCGCTAATGAGATGTGATTTCGGCTCTATTGTGTCATTTCAGATGAGACGCTTCGCAAGGTTAAGCATATGCGTCTATGGGGAAAACACCAGTGCAGTCCACATTTCAACGTGTATACACTCTTCTACTTGTTTTTTTCAAGTACAATCAAAGAGAAGTTATTCAGCACAAGAATTACTATAAAACTAAACTAATCTTAACAATTTGAGCTATACCAGCAAAATGTCACACTCGGTTTTATGCGTAAGTAAATTATGTCCCAAGTTATAGCTCTTGCCATATACACGTAACCAGGGCGGCGACTTCTCTGTACTTGCATGGATTTCGATTTACACTTGTACAGAACTTGTGAAGACTTGTACAGAACTTGTGAAGTGCGAGCGTCGTTTACTAGTTGTTACTCGATTGTGAAAAGCGATTTTTGACAAGTTTTTAGCAACGACTTACAAAGTATACAGTATATATTACATATCAGCACTTTTCTACAATTTATTACCCATTTTTTAACTTTTATACAAAAATGAATTAATTTTGAAAAGTTTAAGCGGAACGTTGGAGTGTCGCAAACCAGTAACGTTGTCGATTTTGTATAAACTTCAGCTCATATTATCATGTATTGTGAAATGTTCAAACCGCGATCTAAATCTAATATCAGCGATTTCGCTGCATGATGTTTCGTTTAAATTATAAAAATTATTATAAGTACAACTAATAGTAGTAACTAGCAGTAACTACTGGCAGTCTACTGCTACTCTGCAATATTACAAAGTATCTGACGACGAATTATTTATATCCAGTATATCCTGAAGATATCCCAGACGACGCATGCCCGCCCTATGAGATCCAAAATAAACTTTTATTTAGCGCGCGTTTTTAGATAATCTCAGTCATTAGTAACATTTGCTGGTGCAACCATTCTATAAGCTAAAACCATTTACTGGGATATACTGGTACTTACCGTTAGCACAATTCAAAAACAAAATATATTCACTTTCAAATTCTGCGTAGCATCACACAATTCTGCGTAGCATCACACAAGTTGTGTGATGCTACGTTGTGTGACACAACTACAGAGTGACGCTGAAATTCGCTCTTTACAGTGTGTCGATGGAGGCCTGCGCCGTTCCCCACGGCCGAATCTGGTTTCTGTCCGTCGGTTCCTTTGATAAAAAGTACCACAACCTTCCGGAGAGTGTCGTGGAGATGTACGACATTCCGACTAACACATGGACCAAGTCACCAAGCACACTGGTTGGAAGGACCACACGCTGTTCCATCATCGCTGCGGGATAATCGTGTTCCAAGGCTATTTGTACTTCATGGGCGGCTATCTGTACGATGATCCGTTTTCTCCAGAGGAGAGCGACGGCAGTGTTACTCCGGCCTGCTACCGCGTTTCCCTGAGCCACGCCCAGTCCCAACCGGAGCGAATCGCGGACCTGAACGTGGCGCGCTACATCATTGCGTCTTCATCAAGGACGGACAGATCTGGGTGTACGGCGGAACGACCCACGTCGACGGGGACAATCAGCGGAAGCAAGCGCTGACGTCGTTCGAGGCGTACGATGCCGAGGCTGACCGGTGGACCGTGATGGATGTTCCCATGACGAAGGAACTGCAGGCAGAACTGACTGGCGGGGATTACGCACAGAAGACCTTCTGCCTGCCGCTGCAGCACCGTCGTCCGCCCGTGTGCGACGGGAATGAATGCCGCGATCGTGACGACAATTATGAGTACGTCCTGAAGGAAAATCGTCACATCGCAGCGGCGTATGGAGAGGGAGATGATTCGGAGAACGATAGTGATGACGATTCCGAGAACGATAGTGACAGCAATGATTGGCCCGCTGGTTTGGATGATTGGCCCGCCCGCGCGCAGTCGGCAATGCACTATAGTGTATAGGTGTTTGCCATTCACTGAATGTACTAAGTAGCTGATGCGTTAAATCCGATACCCATCCGATACCCATTACTTTTCAGTTCGGACTTGCCGAGTCTCCTGATTACTTTTTAATTTTCACGCTTGGATATCTACGGTAGTAATTTACCTAACCTCACTATAAAAGTTTGCATTGTAGAATACGGATTTGCAAACATATTCCCTGGTTTCTCCACTATGGCTAAACCTCGCGCTCGTCCCAAGAAGTCAAATCCAGCGCGTCCGCAGCACCAGAAGCCAACGACTACGCAGCTGCGAATCGGTGACGCAACATTATCCGTCAACAAAGATGCCCTGATCCGGGGATCCCGGTACTTCGCCGCCATGTTGGACGGGAATTTCCAGGAGAGCGGCGCCGCCACTATCGAGCTGCAACAACCCGAGAACGTCCATCTGGAAACGCTGGTTAAACTGTTGGAACACCTGAACCTTGGAGACTCCAAGACCAAGTTGTCTTTGGAACGCAAAGACGTCGGCAGAGTGTGGATGGCCGCCAAATACCTGCAGATGGATGAAGCCGTGGAAATGGCCGAGGATATCCTGCGCGAGATAATGGAGCGACCGAAAAACCTGTACCGTTTGTGGCGTCTGGCTCGTCGGGATGGGCTGATGGAATTGGAGAGAATGACCTTTAGGAGATTGTTCAACACCATCCACGCCGCACCCACTTTACCCATTCCGAGGAGTTCCTCAAGTGCACTGCCGAAGAGGTTAAAGATCTGTTGAGCGATGAGGAGTATGTTCCAGAATCTGAAGCAGCTGTGTATCGGGTTAGTGCTCTTTATGGAACAGAATTATCTTCGGAGCGCCCAAATTTTTAAGTGGTTATTTTCAGTTTTTTAAATATTATTTATTAGGTTAAAAATATAAATTATTCGAACACAATAATTTGCTACAATTACGAGTTAGGCTAAGTAAAATTCTAATAGAGGTATCCATCTCACAATTAGCAGGAGTTAATCTTTCAGGGATAATTATTATCAGTTACTACCTAAAAACGTTTCTGTATTTCTGTGTTTGTAAATTTCTAACCTTGGGATGCATAACTGGAGGAAAGTATCATGTTAATCAAAACTGCTAAACTGTATTCTCGTACAACATTTGCAGGCTGTGTTGGGTTGGTGCATGCACGACGACGCCGGGCGCCAGGAGTATCTGCATCAGCTGCTGGACGAATGCGTCGTGTGGGATCATCTGGACATAGAGTCGCTGATAAGTTCCTCCACGGGGCCTTTGAATAAGGTGCTAACCGAGATTCTCGAGGATCGACGAAACGGTCTGAAGGGCGGTGGAGCGTTGCTGAAGCGGGCCACGCCGAAAGAAGCCATCTTCTACCACATGCGCGACGGCCATCCGCACCAGCTCCTCCGCTTCGACTTCGCCCGCAACGAACTGGTCAAGCTGGTAACACCGATGCAGGCGACGCTCGCCAAGCACTGGCCCCAGATCAAAGCCGACAATTTCGCGGTGGCCGTGGGGCGGGAGCTGATCGTCGCTACTGGAAAATATTCGTTTGAGGAAGAGGTGATCGCGATGGACTGTATCACCGGCAGCACACGCACTCTCGTGGTGAAGTCGCCGTTTTGTGCGACCCTGTGTGTGGTGGCGGTGGGAGACCGTCTCTACCGTGCTTGGGAAGCTGGTGGATATGGCGTAAATTGGCACTGCCACGATCTGGGTACCGGACAAATGCGTCGGGTCGGGCAAATCCCGTATTACACGTCTGAGAGGAGTGGGTATGCGTTACGATATAACCGGTGAGTTATTTTAACTGGGAAGTGATTCAAGTAAAATCGTGTTTATTAACTAGGAAGTAAGTTGTCATAAGTTAGAAATTTTCTGGGAATTTGCTGATGAACTTGCCGTAATGTTACGAGTATAAATGTGGCTATATAACTATCCGGGATGACGGGGAATAGTGGAAGATGGCACTAATACTAGCCAACTATACTCGCAACAAAACAGCAGCTAGTGGCAACTCTTTACTGATGGAAGTCCAAATGAACAGAGCGCATTTTCTGGCAGCATCGCAGTGCTGCTTATATACTCTAAGCATCAGGAAAAGAAGATCAGATCAGCATAAGAACTACGAAGAAAGATCTAGAGCGTTATTTAACAATGGGGTGTGGCTCGGGCGTGACAATAGAAAATAAGCATACAACGATGGATCAAATGCAACTAGCGCATTGATCGTTATTGTGCGATGTTAACAATTAAAGGGCGGCTATTAATAACTTTAGCTGCTCTATTTTAAACGCTTCGATGGTCATATAATTATGCATCAATATTTTACCTACAACAGTGAACACCCGTGCTAAGATTTCTAAGTAATTCTGAATATTTCCTGGAGCGCATTGTTTTCAGCGACAGCGTAGCATTTCTCTGTCAGCAGTTCAAGAATCCATCAGTTATGTCTTATATGATACTTCGGTGTCATTGTGCAAACGTCATCAGTTTTTACTTGATGTGTGTTTCGTAGTCATGCAATGGAAGCCTACGCGCTTCCAAACGGTCGAATCTGGTTCCTGTCGGTTGGATCAGTAGACGAAAAGCACGATAACCATCCGCAGAGTTGCGTGGAATCCTACGATATCCACAGCAACACATGGGAAAAGCATGCCAGTTGGACAGATACAGAGGAGTTCCATCATGACAGCGGGGTCATCGTCTTCCAGTGCGACCTGTACTTCACTGGCGGGTGCGTGTACGACGATCCCCTGGACTACCTGGACAGTTATCCCAACGTCACCACCGCCTGCTACCGCATCTCTTTGACCCGCGGGTATTGGCCAGAGCGCATTGCGGATCTGAACGTGGCGCGCTATCGTCACTTCATCTTCCTCAAGGACGGGAAGATCTGGTGTACGGCGGACGACCCACGTTGATGGGGACAACCAGCGGAACCGGGCGCTGACGTCCTTGGAAGCGTACGATGCCGAGACTAACCAGTGGACCGTGATGGATATACCGATGTCAAAGGAACTACAGGAAGAAGTGGCGGGAGGGGATTACTCGCAGAAGACCGTCTGTGTGCCGCTGCAACACCGTCTTCCGCCGGTGTACGATGGGAACGAATGCGACGAGGATGACGACAATTTTGAGTACGTTCTGGAGGAAAATCGTCGCATCGCAGCCGGATATGGAGTGTATAACGATTCGGAAAAAGGTAGTGAGGACGATTCGGAGAACAACAGTGACAGCGAGTGGCCCGCTGGTTTGGATGATTGATGATGTACTTCCTGCGTGTTTGTGACAGCCGTCAGGCGTAATGCTACGAGTATGAAGCTTTTTGGCGTTTAACACTGCTTATGCCGAATTTTTATTATTTGCTCGTGCGTGCGTAAATTTTTGCGTGCCTACCTGTTTATTTAATTGCCTATATTTTACGCGAATCATCAAAATTGTCTGTGTATGTTGAACGTATAGTTAAACAGTTCAAGTATGATTTTGTGCGAATAATACTTTTGATTCATGATTTATTTGAGCATTGCACCAAGTTTACATATAGTCTATATCTATATGTACAATCAACTTATGCTAATTTTGATATCGTACCACCTGCTACCGATGCGCGATACTGAAACAATACTTACAAATCAAGCACAGCCATGTACAAGTTCAAATTTTTTCAAATCAACTACGTACTACACAATCGGCAAAATTCTGTTCAAATCAATTACTAATTTACAATTTGTGCATCTGAATGCTTTTGACTTGGCGTAACCCATCAAACTGAAAGTAATATACAAAATTAATTATGTTTCTATCACGTTCTGACGGTTCTAGGAGTGGTTAGTTTAACAAAATTCTGCACTGTGCGTAAATGGATTGGTAAGAATTCCTGACCAATCGATTTACGTAGTACAGTGCAGAATTTTATTAGGCTTGGACCGATTTCTGACTCAAGAACAGGTTAACAACGTGCCATAATGTACGTACCAGCAGCATGAAACATTAGCCCCGTTGCTGGATATCATCGGTCTAAACTGCGCAGTAGCAGTATACGTATGCTCAATAGTACGAGTATGCAGTAGCAGTATGCTCAATAGTATGCTCTCGTAAAAATCCGGATATTGAATTAATGATAAATTATTTTGCGCTCGCTTTGCAGTTTGCATGCTGATCCATGGTCGGCAATGGTTCGTCATGGCGGTCATGCCCAGAAAACCGACGGTTTTTTAGAACACTGCCTATGTATTTGCCTCCTCTGTTGACTTGGAATTATCTGTAATTAGAATATTTATTTCCTAATTGAATGACATAATAATACCTACGTGCCCCCTAAACTCGAATAAAATAATGAAGATTGCTCTTAACCGGCATTCTGCCTGGGTAGATGATAAGTTTTAAAATCTGTTCCCTGTGGTTTTCCTGTTCTAAACCTGCTCCAATCGATCTAATGATATTGTATTCGTAGAGTCTTGGATTCTTGAAAACTTCGAACCAAAGCACGTGATAGCGATCGATCTTACGCTGACGATGGGAGTCGCGGGTAAAATTTAATGCCGCACTGTTAGTAGAAAAGTATTAACGCGCTATGCATAGATTGCGCGTATTACGTACGTACGTGTTACGACGTACGTGTTGTCTGTTCCGTTTCGTACGATGTGCTGTTCTTATCTAACGCATTTGATCGCTAATTGCATCCACGATTCTGGTCTAACTGATGAGTCTGAAGTTTCTAACTTCAACCAAATCTGTGAGCTTGTTTCTAGCTGAAAGGTCGTGTGACTCTAGGTTAGAAGGAAGTTCATATCTCGTTCTGTTCTGTTCTGTTTGTTCGTTCGTTCGGTTTGGTGATTAAACATTTGGGAAGTTCCTGAGTGTTTCGGTAACTTTCGTTAGGCACAGCAATCCGCTCGTACCTAGCGGAAGTAGGCAGTAGTACCACTTACGGAGTCCAGAGCATATTCCCACTCTACCGATTGAGTAGGTTTGGGCATCTAGTGCGGTTGTCGCGGTGCGACTTCCGCATAGCATGTCAGTATAATATACTTTTCGACTAATAGTGCGGCATTAAAAATTTCAAATTTAAATTTAGTACATAAAAGAATATGTACAGGTACAGAAAACGGAGATGACGGTTGCTCGCTCACTATGTACAGTATGCAGCCAATAGCAGCAGCCATCCCCTTTAACCCGATTGCGCAATCCGCTCTACTGTACACCGAAAAAATTTCTTGCTCGTTCTATAGGGTAGTGGATTTGTACAGCGTACGTATGAACACGTACGACTTTTAGCTGCGAATCGTCAATGGACTACTTTTCAGTCAATGTATCATGTATGTACAACTGTACAAGTACTGTACTGTACCCTAACTCTGCACTTGAAGGAAATTTGTACAGTGCACTGAGTGCACTGCACTCAGAGTGCAGCCACTCGCACTTGTACGAGCGCATTCACCATTCACATGCACGGCTTGCAGCTAGTGCACGTTAGAACGTGAATCGGCTGAACGTAATATCCGGCTATACAGCGCCGTATCGCTCAATGCGTACAGATTTCCGTCAAGTGCAGCCTGTGCAGGGTTAGTGTACAGTACTGCACTATTAGCGGATTGATGCGCTCAACGCATACTAAGTCGTTTTTCAATTCCGAATTGCGGAGTCTTCTGATTAATTTTTAATTTTCACGCTTGGATCTCTAGTAATTTACCTAGCCTCAACATTACGGTTTGCATTGTAAGACTGATTTTCCCAACATATTTCCTTATTTGTTCACTATGGCAAAGCCTCGTGCGCGTCCCAAGAAGTCAAAGCCAGCGCGTCAGCAACACCAGAAGCCAACGACTATGCAGCTGCGAATCGGTGGCGCAACATTATCCGTCAACAAAGATGCCCTGATCCGCGGATCCCCGTACTTCGCCGCCATGTTGGACGGTAATTTCCAGGAGAGCGGCGCCGCCACTATCGAGCTGCAACAGCCCGAAAACGTCCATCTGGAAACGCTGGTCAAATTGGTGGAACACCTGAGCAGTGGAGACGCCAAGACCAAGTTGTCAGTGGAACGCAAAGACGCCGTCAGAGTGTGGATGGCCGCCAAATACCTGCAGATGGACGAAGCCGTGGAAATGGCCGAGGATATCCTCCACGAGATAATGCAGCGACCGAAAAACCTGTACCGTTTGTGGCGTCTGGCTCGTCGGGATGGGCTGATGGAATTGGAAAGATTGACCTTTAGGGAGATTGTTCAACACCATCCACGCCGCACCCACTTTACCCATTCCGAGGAGTTCCTCAAGTGCACTGCCGAAGAGGTCAAAGATCTGTTGACCGAAGAGGAGTATATTCCAGAATCAGAAGCAGCTGTGTATCAAGTTAGTAACAATAAACAAGTCTTATAAATTACTTCAAAATATTTCTTCGTCTGTAAATTTCTAATCTTGGAATATCTGACTGGAGGGAAGCATCATTTAATTAAAACTGCTTAACTGTATACTCGTCCAACCATTGCAGGCTGTATTGCGTTGGCGCATGCACGACTGCGCCGGGCGTAACGAGGATCTGCATCGGTTGTTGGATGAATGCGTCGTGTGGGATCATCTGGACATGGAATCCCTAAGAGCCTCTTCTAAAGGGCCTTTGAATGCAGCGCTTACCCAGATTCTCGCCAATCGATGCTACGGTCTGATGGGCGGTGGAGCGTCGCTGAAGCGGGCCATTCCGCAAGAGGTCATCTTCTACCACATGCGCGAAGGTCACCCGCATCAGCTCCTCCGTTTCGACTTCGCCCGCAACGAACTGGTCAAACTGGAGTCCCCACTGCAGGGGACGCTGGCCGAACGGTGGTCCAACATCCCACACGAAGGATTTGCTGTGGCCGCCGGCCGGGAGCTGATTGTCGCTACTGGAGATTCGAGTGAGCGGGAAGTGATCGCCATGGACTGCATCTCCGGCAGCACACGCCCTCTCATGGTGAATTCGCCGTTTTTTGGGAGCCTATGCCTGGTTGCGGTGGGAGACCGGCTGTACCGTGCGTGTGAAGCCAGCAGCGGATATGGCGAGAATTGGTACTGCCACGATATGTCCACTGGAAAACTCCGTCGGGTCGGGCAAATTCCGTTTTACACGGAGGAATACCATTCATCTCCCTTACGTTATAATCGGTGAGTTTATTCACCAATCTTAGTATCTTGTTTCCAGTTCAATGTTTTTTTATGAAAAACCTTCGTCGTTCAAACCTTCTTTGCTGACGGTAGTCAGTTATATTCAAAATAAACACAATCGGGAAGGATAGTAAATTAACAAGCATCAGTAAGTGTTGCTTAGGTGTCTTAGTTTTCTTTCAGCACAATATGTATCTGTACAGATACATATATTAAGAATACCACCGCTTATCGCACGTCCCACTAACCCAGCAGCTAAATTGTACCTGCTGCCGTAATAAGCCTTCTTTGCACAACCCACGTTCTATGTACACGAATAAGACATAAGTACCGTTTTGTCTAATATTTCGCAATCCCAGCTAATTTTATATATTTTTCACAGTCATTCAATGCAGGCGTACGCGCTTCCTAACGGCCGAATTTGGTTCCTGTCCGTTGGATCCGTGGACGAAAAAGATGATGACCATCCTAAGAGTTGCGTGGAATCCTACGATATCCACAGCAACATGTGGGAAGAGCATGCCAGTTGGAAAGGTGCAGAGGCACTGCATCATGACAGCGGGATCATCGTCTTCCAAGGCTACTTGTACTTCACGGGCGGCTGCATGTACGACGATCCCTCGCTCTACACGGAAAGCTACCCCAACGCGACGACCGCCTGCTATCGCGTCTCCTTGACCCGCGCGTTTTTTCCGGAGCGCATCGCGGATCTGAACATGGCGCGCTATCATCACTCCGTCTTCATCAAGAACGGGAAGATTTGGGTGTACGGCGGAACGACCCACGTCGACGGTGACAATCAGCGGAACCGGGCGCTGACGACCTTTGAAGCGTACGATGCCGAGACTGACCAGTGGACCATGGTGGAGGTGCCGATGTCGAAGGAACTGCAGGATGAAGTGGCGGGAGGGGATTACGCGCAGAAGACCTTCTGTCTGCCGCTGCAATACCGTCTTCCGCCGGTGCACGATGGGAATGAATTTCGCGATCGTGACGACAATTATGAGTACGTCCTGAAGGAAAATCGTCACATCGCAGCGGCGTATGGAGAGGGAGATGATTCGGAGAACGATAGTGATGACGATTCCGAGAACGATAGTGACAGCGGATGGCCCGCTGGTCTGGATGGCTGATGATGTACGCGTGCCTGTAAAAGCTCTGTATTTAATTTGCGCAACGCTTCGAATTTTTTGTCGCGTTTAACGCTGCTTTGTGCAGTAATTTATTTGTATTTGCTCGTGAAATTTTTGCATAACTGTTGTCTGAATGCCTGGAATTTTAACCGAGTTGTGTTTCAATATTTTAGTATCCATTTGCTCGACTTTTTTCGGATTGTATTTTTTGACTCATGATTAATTTGATCATTGTAACAGGGCTAGTGTTACTTCATGTACAATAAACGTTGAGTCGTTTATTATTAGCGGTGTAGAAATAAAAAGTACAGGATAGTTATTCGCACCACGAAGATGCTACGGTATTCTTTCTGTCGGCACGTTCCATGATAATTGAGCAATTTCGTGCGCTGGTTGCGAAAGCTGACCAAAGGAAACTACGGAAGAATAAATTCCGGTTTACATTTGCTAAAATTTAATGTCGTCCATAGACTCTGTGCCCCCCCAGATCGCCTGGCAGCTACACCAGCGCCTCCATGCCGCAGTGATTCATGGTTTTCGTAATCCAGGTCCGACCAATGGCGTTGTTCGTTATTCGAGCTGGCTGTGTCCAGCGTCTGGGCAATTTCCACGCAATGACTCACTACCGCTTGCTGCTGCTGTCGTGCCAGCATGCAATGAATGCCTGGTTCTTCACTCGACAGCAACGGCCAATGGACAGGCTCATCAGTGATAAGTTATCGCTTGCACGTTCAGTGCGTGACGCGTCACATATATTGCCGACCTTCAAGACTGTGTAATCTCTATTGCATGAATTTGACTCGTTTGCAATTCCGCAACCTTGATTTGGTGCTATTTTTTCTCGTTCTGCCACTATGGATGCAAACTGTGCGAAGAAATCGAAAACAGCACATCACGATCAGCAGCAGCAGGCCCCAACGACCATCCAGCTGCGAATCGGCCCTGCAATACTGCCCGTGAACAGAGACGCCCTGATCCAAGGATCGCCGTACTTCGCCGCAATGTTGGGAGGGAATTTCCAGGAAAGCGTCTCCGCCAGCATCGAGTTGCATCAACCGGACAAAGTCAATTTGGAAACGCTGGTGAAACTGGTGGGGCACTTGAGCAGTGGAGACACGATGATTGTTGAGCGTAAAGACGCCCTGGGAGTGTGGATAGCCGCTAAGTACTTGCAGATGGAGAATGTCGTGACAACGGCCGAGAACATTCTGCGCAAGATAATGCAGCGACCGATGAACGTGCTCCGTCTCTTGTGATTGGCTCGTCGGGATGGACTGGTGGATTTGAAAAGACTGGTCATTGCGGAGATTCAGCGCATGGCGCTCGTAAATTCCGAGATATTTCTCCAGTGCAATGTGGAAGATATCCAATACCTGCTGAACGATGAGGCGTACATTTCAATGTCCGAGGCCACAATTTATGAGGTTGGTGCGTTTCAAAATTTTTTTCCCATTTCGTCAAAGCAGCCAAACAGCCTTTTTGTAACACTCAGACTCAGTTAATTGTAAAATAATTAATAATAGCTAATTATTTGTAATCACTAATTACTCTCAAATAATAACAAGAAAAAGAATACTCGTATATTTACTATATCAAAATCTTTGCCACGCTATACGATGAGTAAGGTATGTATTCGTAACTTCCAAAAGTCCATTCGAAGCAATGCGTTAAGTACTCGTACTTAATAAGCATATTACATTACGGGCATATTACATAAGCATATTACATTAATAAGCATATTACATTAATAAGCATAATACATATTACATTAATAAGCATAACTAGTAGACCCCGCGCAAATTGCGCGGAATATAGCAGCGATGGAAGAATCGTAAATTAAAGCAAAACTCAAAGAGACAGACAGGTACTTACATATACAGTAGATATATGCCGTATATCTACGCATCTGTATCTTCTTAACTTTTATCAGCGAAACGCAGAATTTTCCTTCACAGAGAAATACTTGTGTCAACTTAGTAGTCAGCGTCTAGCTATTTTAAATTACAACCTGTGTGAATATTTTCCCGTCCCGTAGATTGCACAGCTTACAGAAGTGCACTCACACTTGCATATCTGCACTTACAGATAGGGTTAGAAGCCTGAGATAATGTGAAAAAACGGAAGTTCTTTCCCCCGAAAACAGCTCCTCTCTCTTCACGTTTGAACTTTACCGGTAGCACCAATTCAGGTTTTCCAGATCATACATTAAGAGAATTTATTCAATTATAAAGTAGCAGCTTTGAATTTATTTAAAAGTTTTGCAGTTTTTTGCTTTACTTTATTATTTCCAAGCATTGTTCGCTTTTCGGATATCTGCCTTCCTTATAATTTAAGATGGCTCAGCCAAATACCGCTGGTGCCCTTGTCGATACACTTATCAATAGGAATACATAATATTTTTCCATAATGCTTTGTATTAAGAACACAACAGTGAGATTACTAATAAGTAGGCTAAAGTAGCTAAGCACTTAGAAATTCATGTGTTAAATTTCATTGCCAATTAAACTGTTTAATTTTTGCCAAAACTGCCTTCAACGTCAAATACTGTTACTCAAATCGTCTCGGTTGCTAAACTTGATAATCCGCGGGCTTCACTCTTGTTGCAGCTCGGCGCCTTTTGCGGCTCGCCTTTATTACAAACTGATAAATTACTTGGAGTTTCACAAAACGTATCGTAAATGTGGCATTTGGCGTATATTAACTGCATCCATTCAATCAACTCCGTCGGCCACGTTAATCAGTATTTTCTGTTTATTCTGCTTAGCGAAAGACGGTTAATCGGTTATACGTTGGTAATTTTTGCATAAAGTGCACATTTCCGTATTGGTTGTTAAAGCATTAGTTCTCGATTAACAGGAAGCAAAACAGCAAATCATGCGGCATGCTGGGTAAACAACCATATAGTAGTCTAATCTTCGAACTGCTTTTCCCGTGAAATTAAAACGCAGAAAATTGCGAAATTCGGCTGTTACACGATTGACGATTTACAAAGTTAGTATTTCCCTTTTTGCTCAGTGTCAAACGCACTGAATAATTTCGGTAGAAAAAAAGCTTTTATGAAGGCCACTTCGTGCGGTGGTGTACCGTAGCGAGATACGGTTAATATTGGAGCCGAGGACTTAGTGCTTCGATATTTAGATTTAGCAAAAACATTCGTACCCGCCCAAAGGAGCGCAGCAACTTTAAAACTGGTCACCCGCGCTGCGTAGGACAGCTACCTGAAAAACTGGATTTTGGAAATAAGAACCTCGACTGTTCCGTAGACTTTTTAATCAGACTTTCTTGTCAAATCCTGATATTCCTCTATAACCATGCTTTAGAGGTAAAATCTATAAATTCAGGGCTTTCGAGTGATTCATACCCATTAAAATTTCATCCATTGTAACGTTTTAGGTGATTTATCAAAAATTGACATGTTCTATTGGCAGTGGTGGGGTGATCGTTTTGTAGTGGTGGGTTCTCCACTTTTCCCATAGACTTTGCATGCTAAGGTTTTTTGAACTTTTCTTTTAAACCTAACTTTTGTTTCAAAAACAGACTTCTGATGGCAAATATAGAAACTTAGGGCTATCGAATGATATATAGCCATCGAAATTTGGTTCAGTGTAGGGTCCTGGCGAACTGTATGGAAATGGAATTTTGAAAGTCTTATTCTTTTAATATATAGAGATAAGAAGCATATTACTTAATAAGCATATTACATTATTATATTACATTACATTATTATTAATAAGCATATTATATTACGAGTACTTAATAAGCATATTACTCGTACTATAAATGCCTTTCCATCGTTTGCAGGCGATATTGCGCTGGCACATGCACGATGCCACCGAAAGTCTGCATCGTTTGCTGCGCGGATGCATCGCGTGGAATCACTTGAACATCGGCTCCCTTATCACCACCGCTACAGGTCCAGTGCATGCAGCGCTAGCCCGAATTCGTGACGAGCGAAACCGTGGTCTGCTGGGTGATAGAGCGTTGCTGAATCGCGTCATGCCGAAAGAGGTCATCTTCTACCATCTGCGCCAAGGACATCCGCACCAGCTTCTACGCTTCGACTTCGCCCGCAACGAACTGACCAAACTGGATTCACCAGTCCAGGCGACACTGGCTAAATGTTGTTCCACGATCTTAGCCGGCGCTGTTGCGGTGGCCGTCGGACGGGAACTGATTGTCGATCCTGTCGTTCATTTCGGTAAGATGGAAGTAATCGCGATGGACGGCATTACGGGCAGTGTGCGCACTCTGATTGTGAACCCGCCGTTTAGCGGATGCCTGTGTGCGGTGGTGGTTGGAAACCAGTTGTACCGTGCTTGCAAAACAAAGATGGGTAATACCGAAGTGTGGTACTGCTTCGATTTAACCACGGGACAACTGCATCAGGTCGGGGCCGTCGGGCACATCCCGGACTACCAGTCTGAGGAGAAACCACCGCAGCGATATAACCGGTGAGTTTCTGTTTGTCTGTCTGTCGTTTGATCACTTTGGTGTCGTATGTGCACTCTAGATACCGAATGAAGAACACCTACTCGGGTAGATATGTTTTTTCAATGTTTAAAATTTGAAATTTTTTATTAAAGTAAACCCGCAAAAGCGTATTATTAAAAAAAAGATCCTAGTTGCTTTTGTTACTTTTGTACTTTTGTTAGAGTTAGTTTTGTATAGTTACTTTTGTACTTCGATTTAGCGTGGTGCGCCGGTTTTGACGCCGCTCTTAAATTTAATTTCCGAAACTGTGAGGAGCAGTTAGTATGATTATCGACTATTTACTGCTAACAATAATTATAAATATATACAAAATCACTACTGTATATGCAGTACGTTTTACAGCATTATACTTCAGAACTTTCATATGAAAGATCAAATTTTGCTGTACTTTTGTAAGAAAAGCGGGTTTTTGGAAATCTCTTCCAGGGAAAAGTGAAACCGGTACTTGTACAGCATCTTTAAGCGAACTGCAGTTAGTGTCTGGTTGTAGCCGTCAAAATTATGAATGTAAATATTATTTACCTTAAAATAGTGTGTATTATTACACAGTTTGTGTAGTTTTAAATGTGCTTTGTGCATTTGTACCTTTCCAAATGTGCAAGATCAAAACATTAGAAATCCATCGAGAAAAGTTTAGAGGGGTCTTTAGGATTAGAATTTAAGTTATAATTTCCATTTTTAATGAAATTTCTTGACCTTTAAAGAGAAAGCCGTTCGTTGGCTTCGGGCTTCGCGCGAAAAGGATATTATTCTATTCAATCGTTCAACTTCGAGGTCAATATCGCGCGTTACGAGTAAATAAACTCACTTCCTCTGTTCAAAATACGTGACTGGTATTCTTAAAATTTGAATTTAGAGTAATCTGAGCGGTTTTGATCAGTTTTCCATATTTTGGCATTGACGGTTATCACGTTAAAACTGTGAAAGCAAACAATAGCACAAAAATATAGTGGCTTATTCTCCGTAAATCGTTGGATTTGTATTACGCGGATGTATTTGATCTTTTTCTCTCGCAAACCGAGCTCTGTTCAAATGTGGCATAAATGCAAGACCTTGCGAAATGATTTATCTAGCGTGTTCCTAGCGAAATAGCTCGTCAGCTTCGCGCGAAAAATTTTCTTAGCCATCATATTCAAAAGATTTATGGAAGTGCAAAACAATTGTATAAAAAACAACTGTCCCCCTATTCCGACCACCCCCCCTGAGGGGGGCTGCCAGGGGTAGTGTGTAGTTTTAAAACTCCACTATTTTAGGCTCTGGGTCACTAAATAATATAAGTGCTTTAAAGCGAATTTTGCTTTACGCAGCGATGCTTTCAGCAACGTTTCAGGGTTTCTGCCAACTTTTGCGTAGGATTCGTAGTGTGCTGACAGGAAATCCTAGTTTCGTTGTTGTTGCCATACAGTGTATGCAAATTAATGCAATCACACCTGATTGAACTGTTTTTCCACAGTTTCGCCATGGAAGCGTGCGCAATTCCGAACGGTCGGATCTGGTTCCTGTCAATTGGTTCCGTGGATGGGAAACCCAAGAGTCATCCGGAGAGCTGGGTGGAATCCTACGACATCCACAGCAATACATGGGCGAAGCACACCTGCTGGACGGATCCAACGAAATTTCATTATCGCTGCGGAATGATTGTATTCCAAGGATATCTCTACTTCACGGGCGGTTGTCTCTATGCCGATCCTTCCTCGTATAATAAGAGTGATGGCAACGCGACCACCGCCTGCTACCGCGTCTCGCTGAGCCACGCCCAGTCCCAACCGGAGCGCATTGCCGATCTGAACGTGCCGCGCTATCATCACTGCGTCTTTATTAAGGACGGTCAGATTTGGGTTTACGGCGGAATGACCCAAGATCACAATCATCGGAATCAGACGCTGGAATCCTTTGAGGCGTATGATGCCGAGGCTAGCCAGTGGATTATGACGGATGTACCAGTGTCGAAGGAACTGCAAGCGGAAGTGGCTGGAAGGATTCACGCACAGAAGACCGTCTGTTTGCCCCTGCAACACACGCTTCCGGTGGTTTGTGATGGGGACCGGTATCATGTTGACAACGATTATGAGTACATCGGCAAAGGATATCACTACCGAATGACGGACAAGAATGAACGGGGAAATGGCTTGTTGGAGGAAGACCCAGAGTCCGAGTGGCCCACTGGCTTGGATGACTGATGGAACGCTTTAGTGTAAATGGTTAATTCCACGGCTCTCTAACTCTAGGAACTCCATAACATTTTGGCTCTGTACAGTTTGCCTGGCGGCTGGCCACAATTCATTGCAGTAATTTCTGAAAGGTTACCTATTCTAATGGGTAATACTAATTAATGTTACTGGTACTGGTAGTGTTACTGGTAGTGGTACGATATAATGGTACTGGTACTGGTAGTAAAATGGTACTGTTACTGGTGGCATCATTTAATGGTACTGGTACTGTTACTGGTAACATTAAAAATAAAATTTATTAGGATATGTTGTATTGGAGAACAACTTCATATAACATTGTAGCCGTATAACACCCGTTGACCTTTTACAAATTTAGGTTTAAACAATTTTGAGCAGTTTTTAATGTTTTAGTGCAGTTCTTATGTTTTAATGTGCCACTTTTGTTACCTGACATGTACTGTATCGAGTTTCACCCATGAGGTGAAACTCGGTACAGTTAAACAAAAAATTAAGTGCGACAAAAGCTGCAAATCGTTTGCGGCATTTGGAGTGTGCCTTGAGGTTTTGGCGGTAGCTATTCATCAAAAAGCAGTGGATGAATTGGTGGCGTGGTTAAACTCTCCAGCGCTGCAGAGTTGCAGTCGGTTCGGTATGTCCAGTTTGGTAGAGTCCGCAGCTCCAGCGAATGCCTGTAGAAAACCACAAGGTACAAGCAGAAGAATGGGATCAAATACTCGTTCGGCTGCACCGACGTCGGTGCTTCGAGTATCAACAGTCTGTCCTTCTTCGTCTTTGACTACGCAGGCTACTGCTGCTCCGTGCGCAAGTAAGCGCAAGCGTGCTGAGATCGTAACGCCTTGCATAACAATTTCACCCGATAAGCAAACGGAAAATACCGCGAAATGCTGTGGCTGCACACGAAAGTTAAAAAGAAATGATGATATGCCATTACCGCCAAATGATCTAGTGTTTGTAACAGTCGGTCGTCGCCCATATCCATTGTCTGAAAGCACTTCTGAGAAGGAAAAACCTGGAAATGTGTATGTTCGCGCTGTTGCAAGCTGTCTCGAACAAGTGTCGAAACGCGTGGAAGTAGCGGAATTTTCTTCGGCGAAGAAGTGCACTTCTGCGGCTACTAAGAATTAGTTGCAGCCGGCACACGAACAGGCGTTGTGGAAGTTGTGGAAATAGGAATGGGTCGTCCTATCTAATGTACGGAATTTTGGTATTATTATTGCACTTAATGTTACTGCATTTAAATAACTGTTATCAACCCTGTAACTCTTGTTGTCTCTTGAACGTAAAAGCACTTCAGTCGCTTTCTAACTGACCTATGAGCTGCCGCTTCGAATAGAGTTGTTAGTAATTTTTTTAACGCACCTCGCGTTACTTAGGAAATTGTTATGGTCTTATAAAACTTCTTTACGGTCTGCCATTTTGATGAGATGACCACTTAAAAATTATTTAGCATTTTGATTAGATGATATACTTGTGAAATCACGACGTTACGTCGGATAAATGCCGGATAAATTTTAAAATTCTTATGACAGTCTACTTTTTCTGCTGTTATACTTCTGGGTAAACCGGATATTGCCTTGAAGTAATATTTCGTTAATAATAATAGCTCGTTATTAATAACGCATTATTAATGTTATTGTGTACCAGCCTTGCGACTCAGCATCCGTTAAGGTGTCTAGTTGTGCCGACTGCCGGTAACACAATCGGCAATAACTATCGTATGTGTTACCACTACCAGTACCAGTACCATTACGTGATACCACTAACACAACCAGTACCACTACCAGTAACAGTACCATTTTTACTATCACTACCAGTACCAGTAACATTATGTTGTACCACTACCAGTAACACTGCCAGTACCAGTAACATTCATTAGTATTACCCTATTCTAATTGAGAATTTGATTGGTTTTGTGTCCATTTTTGAAGGAGTACTTACCTTCCATCCATTTAATTGTGTAATTTTCAGATACACGCTGGACTTGAAAATGATGTTTACGCACATCCGTTCATACGCATACCGCTATCGGCTTTGGGTGTAAACATCTTTATGAAGTCCGCTGTGTATTTATAAGCTTACGGGAATGTGTGGTTTTGTGCTCCTACATAAGGATTCGAGCATTGTGAATCTGGTAGTGTTTTTTGTGTTTTTGTTAGTGTTTTTGGTGTGCAACAAGCATTGATAGGCTGCTATCGTACCATTACATGCTTGTGACTGAGATTTTCGCTAATTTTATCAAAAATGATTTGTTGGTCATGAAAACAAAACCGGACCTTTTTGCACGACAAAAACGTTTGTGTTTTTTATATTTTTTCTAGCACCAGCCTTATGAAAGCGCATAAATGTTTTACTTATATAATGTACTCATATGATACGAAAAATTGTCAGCCGTTGCAAGTTTCTGTCATGGATGTACACAAGTAAATGCATCGTCGGTTCCGTGTCCAACCAGAATCGGCACTAGAACAACCGCGCTCAGACATAATACTCTTTATCCTTGTTCCGCCCCATCGTCCCATTTCCGCCGGTCTGCACCGGCCGAGCATGCCCGTTGCGCTGCATCGTCCCGGCCGGACTCGGCTCGGGCTTACTGAAGGTCTGGTAGGTCTTGGCGCCGTCGGCCGCCGCGGCGGTCGTCGCTGGGCGGCCGTTCTTGCGATAGCGCACCGCCAGGAACACAATCAACGCCACCAGAATGACCACGCCTACCGCGATCCCGGCGATCAGCGCCGCGTTCTCCCGGAAGATGTCCAGGGGATTACCTCCAGGTGCTGCGGTGGTGGAGAGGACTGGGGCCGGCGGGAACGTCGGGTAGGTGCCCAGTTTCCCGGGGGGCGGGGTGACGGTGAAGGTGGGTTTGGGGAAGGGCGTCTGGATAGACTCGGCGGTGCGGAAGAGGGAGGCGGGGGTGGTGAAGGGCGGCGGGGTGGTAAAGGTCACGTTGATGATGATTGGCGGGCGCGTGGACCGGGAGAGGGCGGAGCGGGCGGCCAGAGGGCTGGCATCGCCGGACGCCTCCGTATCACCTATTGGCAAAGGTCAAGTGGTCAAGTATTGTATTAAATTTTCACTTATCATGTGTTGGTTATTATTTATATATTTCATTTTCATAGATTGCTGATACAGAATTTTCAAGTTTCTTTAAATTTTTTTTTGATTCAGTAAGCTTAGACATCGTAATGCAGCAGTCAGTCAGTGCGTACACTTACAGTCTTCTTCGTCATCACAGATTACTGAGCGCGGTGAGGAAATCACCCGTTTGGCAGTGGTCGACAACGTCGATGCCGTTGTCGTCGTTTTCGGGAATACTGTCGTTGTCTTCACAATAGTGAAGGATGCAAAAATCAGATCGTCATCTAAAAGACGTGGAGAAAGGTCACCAACTTTTCATAATCGGCACAAATAATTATGATGAAATAAATCAGCTGTAATCTTGGTGCAATATAGGTAGATATGTAAGAAAAAGGTCACCCGATTCTGTACATACTTTTCTGACTGTTGGTCAGTGTACACCCGGTATCTTCTACTTTACAGGGCGCCGGCGTGGCGACAAACAGATCATCAGACGCTTTGGTGTCCGGTCCGTGGTGGGTGACGTCGGTGTGCTGCATCTGGTCTATCCATTCCGCTGGCTGCTGTTTCTCGGGGAAGGAGGCATTCGTCGCCTGTAGTTCCTTCTCCATGTCGCTGACCAGCTCCGGATGACCTTCCAGCAGCACGTTCCCGTCGGCATCGGCTGCCAGATCCAGGATGCGGATGCCGTTGATGACCAGACCGGCAATGACGCCCTGGAAGGCCCGCTCGATGTCGTCGTGGCGGGCGTTGAGTTTGCCGCCGATCTCCACCGTGGAGATGCCGTTGAAGATGTCGTGTTGTTTGCCTGCAAAAGGTCACAATTACTAATTTGTGTATCGTTATTTTAATGGCAAAAAAACGAAATTTCACAAGCAAAAACATACAAAAACATTATAGACATAACAAAAATTGTTTGAGCGATTTTTAAATAAATTATAGACACACTAATATATAAATAAAAATTAAAAAGTAATATTTTCTTAAGCAAAATATAAACAAAATTAAATGGTGGCTTTAAGACTTATTCGCATTTTCCAAACAATATACAAAAATCTTGTGGATTAATTAAAAATTTAATACCATAATTTCAATAAATTGCAGTTAGCAGATATGAGTATAAATATTCCCATATATGAGCATGAACTGAAAAAAAAGATTAAATCAAGACAATTTTTATTTCTCACCTGATGGAACTTTTGTAACCGGCTCGTGCCCGTCAATCTGCAGCGTGGCATTGGCACCATCGCGTTCAAACCGCACCACGTGGTACCGACCGTCGTGTAACCGGTGCTGAAAATCGCTGATTAAATGCGCATAATTGCCCATATTGTACACGACAAACAGGTGGCCGGCAACCTGTATAATAAATGCGAAAGTGAAAAACATTTATTCCAAAAAACGAAACATTTGTCGGAGAAAACAAGCGCATACAATCTGGAATTCAATCACATCTTCGGATGTGAAGCTGCCGATGCGGCAGAAGAGCGCCTCGTCTTCCGACTTCACCAACCCAAAAGCGATGCGGTCAGATCGCGAATCCGGCCGTTGTGCCGCATCGAAATGATAAATCACCAAGCCCGGCAGCGGGCCGAACCGGTAGGCAGTGCTATCTGTAAAGGTCACCAGTTAGTGCAACATTTTGAAATTCTCAGAAATCCAAAAGTAAATTTACATGTGAATTTGCCTTTAGATAATCAGCCGTTTGTTCAGGAGAATATATATTTAACCTATTCGAAACTGATCTTTTTTTCTTCTTAAAATAGTTCAGTGAGATGTGTACAATAAAAAGTAAATGGAATATCGATACGTAAATAGGTATGTGTAATACAAATCAGCGCAAAAATTGAATTAATTCGAGGTATTTTTAACATTGCTATATGATTTTATTAATACCGAATTTATTGCAGCACGCGTATTAACGTACAGTTTGAGCAAGTACTTCCGGTGAAAGACGTCATATCACAGTCACACCGAAATCCCATCCACTGCTGCACACACCGTCCGCCATGTTGACACACCGCGCCCTTCCCGCACTCCCCGCGGGGACCCTGGCACCCCGCCACGACCATGTCGCTCTTGACCTTGACCCCGCCCACCAAATCCGCCACCACCCCGTTGATCGTCAACCCCGCCAGACACCCCGAAAACCCCGTCTGCGCCCGCACTGACCGCGGGAGACTGGCGAACATCCGCTTGGGAAGTCCCCCGACATACAGACTCCCCTGGAGGTTCAGCCGGGACTTCTCCTTGACGTCGACCAACACCCACTTCTCCCCGTCCACCACCAGGACGTGGTCTGTCCGCCCGGGTCGGCCGATCTCCACACTGTGCCACAGGTTGTCGTTTAAGGGACGCCGGCTGCTGGACGACAGGCTCTGGGCGCCGTTGCCCATGTCGAAGACGAGGGGGAGCGTCCCGTGGACCAATTCCACGGCGATAAAGTCCTGGGCGTACTTCCCGTTGAATAGGATCAGCCCGGTGGTCTGCACAGTGCGGAAGGCGAAGCGGAGGGAGAGCTGGGGGTCGGCCTGGAGGGGCTCGTGGGTCACGAAGGCCTCGGGGCTTTGGAAGGAGAAGCTGGAGGGTCCGGGGTCCACGGGCGTGGTTTGGAGGCGAGTGAGGACGTCGGTGGTGTCCAGGTGGAGGTTCTGGAGGTGGCCCCGGAAGGGCGGGAGGGGCCGGGTGGAGGGCGGGGACGCCGGGGGTGGAGGGCGGTGGGAGGAGGTCAGCGGCAAGCGGGAGGCTCGAATGAACTTCTTGGAGCGGGTGCCGGGCTGCTTGCCTAGGTCCAGCCGGCTATAGTGCAGGGAGATGCCGTCCAGGGTGGCGGATGTTTCTGTACCGGTGAGAAATTATTTGTATGTATATACTTCATTTGTATTCAAATTAATTAGCGGTTTTGTTTAGCGTAATTTACCGGCCAGTTCGTAATTATCCAGTATAATTTTGACGAATTTTCCATGCCGGTGAAATTTGATAAAATGCCATTTGTCATCGTTGAGCGTTTCACCGACCGTCCATTCCAACTGGAAACCAGTAAGCCGGTTAAAATAACAACCATTATTGGCTTAATTTTTTTTTAGATTTTTTTGCTTATTTATTTTATTTTTTATTATTTACTTTTACACTTGTACGAATTTATTGCAAAATAAATTTTAAAAAAATTAGAACAATTATTTGATTTTCTTACCTTGTCGTTCATTATGGCTTCTGCGCTGAGCGTGACCTTTATCTTGCCGCTGACCAGCGCGACGACAAAGGCATCATCCGATACGTCGCCGGCTACTTTATTTAGGCACCACAGTTTCAGGATAAATGCGCTGATGGACAGCGACCGGAAGCGAAAGGACAGGCTGGTCACTTGACGGGGTCTGGCATCTTCCGCTGGCATTTCGTATTTTACGTACGGGTTACTGTCGTCAAAGCGCATTTCCGATGCAGCTAAAATTCAAACGTCCGGTACGGTCATCGCAGTGCTTATACAAAAACTGCTGAATTACGTAATTAAAGGTGGAAACAAAATAAATAGGTGAAGGCTCCGTATACCACCTTTTACCACACTTGGCTCCTAGTACCACCTTTGATACCACCTTTGGCTTTTAATACCTCCTTTTGCACACCACTTTTGACTCCGCATACCACCAGTTAATTTTTTTGCAACTGTATTATTATGAATTATTAAGGATAGGTATCTGGGAAAACCGAATGGGGTTTGCTTGTGCTGCCGCGTCCAAATCGACGCGCTACGCTCCTTGTACATATATGCTGCATGGAGGTTATACTGTATACACTACGTGGCCCAATCTCGTTTCACTCGATTGTATAGCGGCAGGTTCATAAAAAAAACAAAAATATAAATAATTTAAGAGTATCGAGCAAATGCAGTGTTAATATAGTTATCAATACAATAGGAGAAGTAAGGCCTTGTCACGAAATCGAAGCGAATCTATATTTACTATGTTGTAACTATGCGCCCTACTGAGCCCAACTAAATCTAACTGCAGCCTCGAGGAGGTTTATAATTTTGACTTCTAACAGAATTCTGTAATATTGACTGAAAGTAGTCAAGTTTTTGCTATACATACAGAATTCCAAATAAAATGAAAATTATTTATTCATTGTTGAATTAATTTTAAATAAAGCTGTTCATCCAGGATGAAACGGTCGGCCTGTTTAGTGACAGTGATAATAACAATGCCGGCAATGGCTTTATGAAAATAGGAGGTTTATTTTGATGGCTTTGAAATTGAAACTTTCGTTATCGAAAATAATATAATATAACATGAATATATATAACATGATTATGAGCATAGTACATGAACAGTATAGTACTCGTACATAAACAGGAAAATAATATAGTACAAAATTTTTGAGTAAAAATAATTAGCTAAACTTTTGTTACCTAATCTTTTCCTATACAAAAATTGTCCTTTTTGAGAACATAATTGATTTTCTGTTCTAACTAATCCCGTTGATAGAGGTTCAGAGCTCGAAAAACGTAGGAGCAATCTTTTTAAAGCCTGTTGTCTGCACTTTAAGACGTAATTTAAAATATTTTCCAGGTGAAAGACTATAAAGCCGCTCACCTGGTAAACCACCATAACAAAGATCAGCTCTTTCTTCTAGTCCAGGTTCTGAGTTCCAGACCCAGAATAAATTATCATTATAATTTAATCTGGGTCTGGAAAAACACGCTCATAACCCTGTGTGCACTTAAGCGGTATGACATTGTTAGTATCTAATAAAACAGCACTATCCATAAAACCGCTTTTCATGATGATTTTAGACTCACTGGTATCTAAATTTTCCAAATCACGAATTTTACAGTTTGCATAAAACACATTATCACAAATCAAAATAATTAGCGCTTCATAAACCTATTTACCTCATCATTACTTACTTCATTATCTTCCTAGTTCCTACTACAATTACCCTCATTTTGACTTTACGTTTTTTTCTATATTCATGCATGTATTCGCGCATATTTCTTCCGATTAGAATCACTTTCCATTATTTCATTAAGGATAATAATACTTAAAATTTAACGCAGATCTCTGTGCAAGAAATCTTACTAACCCATACTGAAGCTAAAAAAACGTATCAAAGTCAAACAAAACACAGCAGCCTGAATCAGCACTGTTCCAAAAACCGACCACCACGAAATAATTAACAGGAGAAAAATCTTCTTCACTGCATACTTCTTCAAACCCATAATAGCTCACACGCAACTTCTGCTTATTCCGGAATTCCTTATACACCCACCGAACTAAAAAAATCCAGTCAACAAACCGAATCACCCTGACATTTTCTCGAACAACTTTTTAATGTACATCGCAACCTACTTCCCATATAAAACCACCTGTTACTAAACATCCATAACCATCAGATCAGAACATCATAGTCTGCTCCATTAAGCAATCAACTTTCTCGAAATTTCATGAATTTTTCACAATAATCCATCACCATCCCCCACCACAACTCATAACACACAACACACTCCGCTTCCCGTTACACTTCATTAAACTATGAAGTATGAACAACCAATAAGTCGAATACACTTATGTCAGACTACAGTAAAACCCCCCACAACCTTCCCTCTATTACAACATTCACCCCTTCATTATCAGATTCTTTCAAACATATCATCTTTTAATATAATCACCTTTAATATAATTTAATATATTATGAAAATTCTCTATTCAGCACTTTATATAGATATTCCTACCCCTTATATAGATATTCCTATCTCCACATACAATATGCTCCTGTAATGTACTCCTGCATTATGTAGAAGCATATTGCAATGTCCTCCTACATATGTAGGAGTACATTGCAATGTGCTCCTACATATGTAGGAGCACATATATGTAGGAGCATATTGGATTACGTTTGTTTGGATACTACAGTTCCGTTTTTCTCATCCAGGATCCGATGAAACCGATGCAATGTGCTCCTACATAATGTACCAGCACATTCCAATGTGCTCCTACATAATGTAGGAGCACATAGTGTAAACTAAAAAAGATGCCGAGCCAGTGACTAAACGAAACCCCCAACGACCTCGGGACTTTTTTTTAGAGCAAATCTGACCTCGGGATAATTTTCAGCGCATTTTTCTGATACAGAAACCATTTTTCAAAACTTTTTTTGAAAGAAAAAATTTCTGACTGCCGGGCCCCATACACCCCCCCGTTACCTTAGGCGGTTGCAATGGCGCCACTAACAAAAACTTTATTTTTGCCTTTAGAACACTAATTTCTAGGTAAATCGATATCGCTGATTCTGAATATGTTGTTAGAAACCTTGTATTAGTTATCTTCAAGAAGAATCTTGCGTATTCAAATTTTTTGACGGAAATCTGCAAAATTTTATTTTTTCGAAAAATTTTCTGTTCTTCGACTCAAATAATTTTTCTGATCGCATATTCGAAATCAGCAATGTCGATTTACCTAGAAAAAGTGTTCTAAAGGCAAAAATAAAGTTTTTGTTAGTGGCGCCATTAATAAAACGGGTAGTCAGAAATTTTTCTTTCAAAAAAAATTTTTGAAAATGGTTTCTATATCAGAAAAAATGCGCTGAAAATTATCCCGAGGTCAGATTTGCTCTAAAATAAAGTCCCGAGGTCGTTGGGGGTCTCGTTTAGTCACTGTGCCGAGCTAACAACGCCATCTACAAGTTTCACGCATCGTTACTCGACTCATGTCACATGACTCATGTCACATGACTGTTAGGCCCCACCGCTTCCTTCAACCGGCCGGACCCTTCCGTACTCTACGGGCGCCAAAAATTTCTCTTGTTTACACATGGATATCGAAGACCAAAAACCGAAACTACAGTTTCATATATGCTACGACTGATTCTAGTCGTATACCGCATAGATGAACCTGTCACGGTTCAATGAACCTGCCGCAAAAAATAAACCCTGATCTTTTCAAAATGCTCCACTAGTCATTTTCCGATACCGTGTTCGGTGTACGATGTTCGCAACGTAGCGGTATGTACGGACATTACGGACACAAGCTTCCATACAAACAGTACAAATACAAATTTCCGATTTCCGTACTGTTTTCCATAGCGTCGGTTGCGATACTGAATGCCTTTATGTTACTGCATATCTTTTTCCAGCCGGTACAAGGAAAGATTTGGATCTCGTTTCTTGATGTTACCAAATTAAACTAAATTAAAAATTAAATTTTAAAAAATCAAATGGTGGTATGCGGAGTCAAAAGTGATGAAGCAAAAGGTGGTATTAGGAGCCAAAGGTGGTTTAAAAGGTGGTACTAGGAGCCAACGGTGGTACAAAGGTGGTATGCGGAGCCTTCACCAATTAAATATTGGATATTAGGTAAATAATCTCTAACAGTCTGTGTATTGTGAAAATTAATGATAGCTTGATTTACTGTATTACTCTTGCGCGCGAGCGCCCCGCATAAAAATGAGCACGAATAATTAATTTAATAATACATGTATGTGCGCGAATACCGATTTTCAATGAAATGCTGAATGAAAACAGCCGAGCGGAACAATTTGCGCATTCTATTGACTCGGCCCACGGTGTTTTAATAGAATGCACAATGTGACCAGACCGGCACACGTGCGGCCGGCTGTTTCAACCGGAAATGCCGGCGGCGGGACAACAGACCGATAGTGTCCAGCTGTCTATTGTGCGAACGCTAATAAATTGGATGAAAATTCTATATGCTGAATGCACGGCACACGCCGTGGGTGGCGGTCAATATCGGGCCATTTTGGCGGGTTTTGTTTGCCTAAATAATTGGAATACAGTGTGTTTTCATCGCTCTGCCGACACATATCCACAATACCAGCCTATAATTAGCGGGTCAATGTGCTACATATTAATATTTATTTATAAATACTTTATTTATAATATAACATATGAATAATTTTGTCTAAACTGTTATTTGCCGTGGCTCTGTTATGGCAAACCTAAACCGAACGCCCCATCGTTATTTAATCGTTTTAATCACGCCATAAATTGAGTTCTATTTGATATTGTTAGACTGTTACTATTGTAAGCAAAACCTTATAATTCATTTGTTTGAAATGGCACAAGAATTTCAAAAAATTTATTAACCAAAATCTATGAATCAATGTTCTCTGTAAATTCTGCAGCACGTTTGGAATTCTTTTACCACTGCCGACATTGGCATCCACTGCACTACGTTAAATAGTTTTTCTTATCGTTGATCGTTGCACGGATGTTGTTCGATTAACGCAAGGAATATTCTTTGATTACGTACTGGTTAATTTAAAATTAAGGATACCGCAACCACAACGAATTCGTAAGATGCTGTATACTTTTGGCGGTTTTGCCAAAAATTATTAAAAAATGGTTTCTATATCAGAAAAAATGCGCTGAAAATTATCCCG